AAACAAAAACAAAAAAATAGTAAAATTGTCTTGAAAAACTAAAGAAGCTGAAAACTTCACATATACTTAAAAATTTTCCTATCAGAGATGAATTTTTTTTTTGGATACTATACTGGCAAAAATAGTGACAAACAGATCTGACTATCCACTTTTAGAGTTTCCAAAAACAAGCATAATCCTAATAAGKTTTTAAAAAATGTGTTGACAGGGCTAGAGTTATAGCTCAGTGATAGATCACTTGCTTACCATAAGCAAGGCCCTGAGTTCAATCCATAGCACTCCAAAAAAAAAAAAAAAGTATAAATGGTAAGGAAAATCAAGGACAGTACTGGTAAAATATATGACATGAAAAATTTAGAATTATTCACACAAATGACTGGGAGCTAGAAGCTTCTAATTTCTTGCTGACAGAGAAAGAGATACTAGTTAAGCCTTAAGTTACTGCAGATCATAGAACCAATCCTTACCTTCCCTAATGATTAAAGTTTAAGCTGACTTAAGTCATTAYTAGGCTACGGACATCCGAAACTTTTCCATTTTCACTAAACACAAGTTATACAAGTCCCCCCCACCACCACCACCAACCTTTTGTTTTCTTTCAAAGCAGTGCTTGGCTTAGGGTGGCAGATATTTTTGCTTATTTGGTTTTTTTTGTTTTGTTTTGTTTTTTTTTAAAGCGCCTACACTACAAATGCTGTGATCCTCTCACAATTTTTTTTTTTTTTTTTTAGTGGCTACTTTTGGATTCTTGGTTTTTAATACAATCACAAATCATACCCACTTTAATTTCTCTAATTAAATACACCCACATTCTTAGAATTTTTTTATAAAGTCATATACCAGATTGTTGCTCTCAATCAACATTATACTTTGTTTTACATCTAATTCTTCATTTAAAGAAATTACCCCTAATTTTAAAAGTTTATCCTGTCAAACATTTCACAGATGAGAATTGCTCATATGTGGTAATTACTTTATAAATAATTATATATCTTGTTAGAATTGTTGTTTAAATTTTTGATTGGAAGAGGCAGCTTCAGTCCTGGCAGAGCAGCAAACCAAATGTTGAAGAATAAGAACCATAAAATGTCAGCCTTAAGGCAACAGTCCAAAGATTTAGCATTTAGTAAATTGTTACCCTAGAAACTAGAACTCAGAATCTGTCATCTCTCCCTGAATAATGCCCCATCTTCAATAAAGTTCAAAATCATGGTTTTCATCAATAAATTTCTTGGGTCACTACTGCTGCCTAAAACCTTTTGATGAGGAGGAGTTACTCATGCAACTAACTATTCAGATAAAGATTATGGTCAGGTTTTAAAACGTCAAAATGGGGGGGGGGGCTGGGGTTGTGGCTCAGTGGTAGAGTACTTGCTTATTAGCACATGTGATGCACTGGACTAAATCCTCAGCACCACATAAAACTAAATTAAGGTATTGTGTCCACGTATGTATAAAGATTAAAATGGAATTCATTCAATATGGGAGGTATATTACACAGATTTTAGACCAGATAAGTAATTTTGTCACCCTGGAGATTAAGCCTATAGTTATCAAAGGATTTTTTTTTTTTTTTTGGTGGTGGGGGGGAGGGTTATTTGGGATTGAACTCAGTGACACTCAACTACTGAGCCACTCCCCAGCTCTATTTTGTATTTTATTTAGACAGGATCCGAGTTGCTTAGGTCTTGCTTTTTGCTGAGGCTGGCTTTGAACTCGTGATCCTTCTGGGCCGCTGGGATTACAGGTGCTACCGTGTCCAGCCTCAAAGGATTTTTGTCTTGCCTTTACAGGCTTTTTCCATTTTTAAGAACTGACACTATATTATTAAAGTTATTCATCTTTTCTAAGATGAAGTCCTGGGTTCAATCCTAAGTACTAAAAAAAATGCAAAATGCAGATGAATAGAAATTACTTCTACATAGCTCAAGGAATGCATTTTATAAAACTGATTTTACTGTATTTTTCCAAAAGGGCCAAGAAGTGCCCTAGATGGCTTAACTCCATCATACTGTAATCAAACATATCCTTAAATGACACTGGAAATAAAACCAGAAAATCCAGATATTCATTAAACTATATCTTTCTAACCTATATCTTTMATTTCAGGTAAGAAGAAGGAATCCACATTCTTGAATTAGAAAATGAATCTAGAAATACACAAACTATCCTATGCTGTAATCTTTCAAAGTACCTAATATGACTAGGAATGCATTGTGTCCAGGGTTACTGTGTAACAAGGCAACACTGTCAAAGGCAAAACCAATATGATTGCTTTTTATATTGTATTTCTTCTAGATTAAAAGAAAACATAAACCAAACATAAAATAAAATGGCAACTGTTTAAATAAGCAAAAGGCGTCTATTTCTCAGTGCTACAACAAAATCTGGAAAAGCAATGTGGAATASAGGGTCATTTAATTACCCCCTCAAAGCTAGAAAATGTTTCTCTATTTCAACTTGGCTTGAAAATGTATTATTTGCAAGACTTTTAAAACATTCTGTCCAGTTTTACCTCAAATTCAGTCAATTTCAACTAATGSCATTCTAATTACTACACCTCAAAGTTTGGCACCTATACACTTAATCAAATGCTTAATTCAAATGTGTGTGCTTAGTGGACCAAATAGCCAAGGGTGAACTACTTACATCTTGGAGTATAGTCAAGTATTCTGTTCTCCATCTTAAACTCCAACTACAAAGGAAAGCAGTTAGCTATCTAGTTCCCGTATGTAAACCCCTACTTTCAGAGCTGACACTGACTTACATTTCATTAAAAAGGTATGCTCTTAAAAAAAAAAAATGTGATTTGGGGCTGGAGTTGTGGCTCAGCAGTAGGGCCCACGCCTAGCCTAGCATGTGCAAGGCACAGAGTTCGATCATCAGCACCACATAATAATAAAGAAAGGAAGAAAGGAAAAAAGGAGGGAAGGAGGAAAGGAAGGAGGGAGGGAGGGAAGAAAGGAAGGAAGAAAGGAAGGAAGAAAGGAAGGAACTGTGTCCAACTACAACTAAAAGAAATTCTTTTAAGTGAGATTCTAGTTTGTTGGTAAGTGGATCAACTGAGGATGAGACACACGGTAGAAGTGTTACTTGGGAAACTGAAAAATTCTAAAATTTTATGAGACACACAAACCTAAACCAAACTGTTGACAATAATTACCTCTAAGAACCAATGTGGGGAGATGGGTAAAGAGAGATCTAAAAAGGACTTTTGCTTCTTACTTTATATTAAAGGCACACACAAAGAAGTTTTAATTTTGGGTAGCATGAAGTCCAATGTTACAAAAGTTAACTACTCAGAGCTGTATAAAAAATCTGCTAAAGTTGATGCCTAAGTTTTATTTTATTTGGGGGGCAAGGGGACCACAGGCTCAAAGTAATAAACTTCAAATGAGTTGTTAGCAGATAACTTTCCAGTTTCCTGATTCACAARATTAGGAGATAACCCAATTCTGGTTAAAATTATCTATGATGCCAATGAGATCCACCTAATTGACCACATTCCTTCTGGGAAGGCTTCATGCAAAGTAAGAAGCTATTAAAAGGAAAAAAACATGACAAAACAAAAACATATCCCAAGAGACACGGAAGAAAAGGAGAAAGCAGGTATTTACTGAACCAAGAGCTTCTGGACATGTTGGTAAAAGTTGCAAAACATATATATAATAAGACACAAAATTAAAACCCACAAGACTATGTATTTCTATAAGGAAACATGTATGTATATAAATGTTTAGTGAAAAGGTGATTGAGGAGCATATACAAGAGAGCAATAGTTATCATTTGGAAGGGGGCATAAAGGGACATGTTGACAACATCTCTTTTTAATTTTTTCCTAGAATGTATTCTTACATAATAAATACAAAAAAAAAAGAACTCTTATATTTCTAGGAAGTACTACATATGATGGTTTCCCTAAACTGCCAAAGATAACAAACAGTGTAGCAAATACAATTGTGGTCTTTCTTCAACATTATTGTACTTTAATTCTTGTTATCCTTCATCTTTTTTCATCATGTTTCATTTAAGTAAATTATTTGCTTTTTCTTAAGCACTTGATAATGAGTAGATATTTGATAGGAAATATCAAAATCAAGAGTAAGAACTGGTATATTGGGAATTAAGGCCATTTAAGAAGACAACCCGGGGCTGGGGATGTGGCTCAAGCAGTAGCGCCCTCGCCTGGCATGCGTGCGGCCCGGGTTCGATCCTCAGCACCACATACAAACAAAGATGTTGTGTCCGCAGAGAAGTAAATAAATAAATATTTAAAAAAAAAAAAAAAAAAAAGAAGACAACCCCCATCTCTTGACTTGTAGTTTTCATGAGATGCATATGTGTAAGCCTTCTAAAGAGGACAAGATGCTTTAAGAATAAAAGTTTTACTGAGTACAGCAAGTAACATTAACTTGCCATATTTACTAAAGAGAAAATGTTGCAGTAAAAAGAGTTACACTCAAAAAGCATAAAAGCTTTTCAGAAAAGAGATGAGACATAAATCTTGGATAGTATAAGCAGCACTAAGAAGTGTACCAAATTAATGTGCTATTGTTTAGAAGAGAAGTATTTCTGCTTCAAATTGGAAACTTAAAAGAATTTCTAATTTGTTCTATTATATTCTATTTAGTGTTATATATAACACTAAAACACAATTAGGAAAATTTTGCTCAAAATTGTAATTAATTTGTTTTCTTGAAGAGAGAAAGGCCAAAGTCAAGACATATTATGGTATGAATTTTCATCCACAGTACCAAATATACTACTGTCACAGGTGATTAAAAATAACAGAACAGCAAGTGAAATCAATGCCTATGATGAAATCAAGTATATGTAATTCAACAACTCCTGCTTTTTATTAAAATCTAGGTGATGCATTTTGTAATTTAAAAAAGAGTACTTAAGGATCTACTCAGTCCTTTATCTTTAGTTGCTCCTGTTGGCCACTACTGTCTACACCCTCTACCAAAATATCCCAACATAATAAAAGATCACAAATATGTATTCCTTGTCACACTTTATCTACAAAGAAAACCATGAAAAGTTCAAATAATGAACAGAAGATAAAATCTGAATGTTAAAAGCACAGAACAAACTACCTCTAGAGGTAATTTATATTATGGGCAAATTATATTATATGGAGGTAATAGAGACGAGCAATGATCTAGACTCCCAATAGCACTTATATTACAGAAAATTGCAAATTATATGTTAAAAGAAACACAGTATCATAATCTACCTTTTAAAAATCCTTCAAATATTTGGCACAATGACTCTCTTGCATTATTTAGAAACTATTTGAGAAAAGCAATGTATTTTTCAAAGTGATTTTTAAAATGTCAGGTTGTAGAGTTTAATATCTACTTGATTTCCATTCCATTCTTCACTACCTTCTTTTCCCATTTCCTCAATTTTACTTTGTATTACTAGAAACCTAAAGATGAAAATATCATTCTTTAATTAATGCCAAAGAAAAAGAACCCCATTAATAACTTCTATTAATAGGTAGTCTCAGGAGATACTCCAGACAAAACAAATTCAAACATTCATATTTCATACAATAACATAATGTTTTGTTCTTTTCAGGTTAATGTTATCCCAAATTGTTGCAATATACATTTTTAAAAATAACCTTCCCRTGTAATCAGAAAGCAAAACAAGAAGCAGAATACCCACCATCATTAGAGAAACAATAACTATATACTTTTAACATAATATTAAGCACTCGAGAATTTTTAATGACTATCCTAAAACCAATTTTTCAACTTATTAGTTCAAAATATATTTGTTCTACCTACCTATACTTTTTAACATACAACATCATAACTTGTGTTTTCTTCCTAATAGCACAATTATTAGGATAGGAACATAAAAGATACATAGAAATGAAGAAAGTATCAGAAAAACTTCCTAGCTTGGGGTTTATCCTCTCTTTTTCTTTCCTTTTATACATACTGCAGCTGACTGATCCAATTTCATCACTCCTTCACCTTATACCTACCTTAAAGACCTTTTGATATTCAAAGCAACAGAAATAACCTACTACCTATTGTTGCTATTAAATTAACCTGAATTACAAGTTTGGGGGGGGGCGGGGAGGGGGAGACAGACACACACAGGAAGAGAGGGGTGGGCAAAATACTTGAGGTTAAGAAAAATACACAAAAATCATGGAAAGGTAAGGGAAAAAATATGGAAAATAGTTATGCCCTACCAATAATTTGGCAACTAGATAAATTTAATAATAAATTTAATTTAAATTCCCATTTATTATTCCAATCTGGAATTTAATAATAAAGAGGGTAAAAAATAGAAGTACAGTTGTCCAATTATCAGGTTTTAAAACTAACTTTTGGAATAAAGCTGAATTTCACCTCTAGTTTACAAAACACATTGCACTCCAATAAGAAAAGCTTATTTATCATCTTAAAAGTAGGAACAGCAAAACTTTCTTTACTCCCTCTAAAAGAGCCAAAAGGGCAAAAACATAACTTTCATGGGAGACTCAAGATTCCCACTGCCTCTTCCATCCCTGAATAAATACTGACTTCACAGGAAACCAAGAGATTATACAGAGCATAATCATCCCATAAAAGGAGACAATTTTAACTTATCTCCAACTCTTCCCACTCCCACCATCCTCAAACACATAACATAAGAGGTCAGTATGCTGAGTTTGGCAAGGACAATAAAGAATGTTAAGTGAGGGCTTAAAGAACATTTAATACTACGATAAAATTCTAACATCACAACATCAAGGTGTCAAGTCATTTCAACTTTTAACCCATTTGAAAAGGTTTAAGCTGTTAACTTAAAAATATGATAGTACTTCTTCAGTAACTATAACCCCATATATCCTCTTAATCGCTCATGCTAACAGCTTTATTGTATACTCTGCTTCTTATAAGTAAATCCAAGGACCATTCCATTTTAACTTAGACATAACATTTACTAGTTTTCCAAGCATGACAGAAATGGAAAAATATATATATATTAGAACAAGAACAATTCATGTTAATTTCTACAATCTGTGTTCCTTCTGTGAGCAGCACCTGATTCTATTAAAATTAACAAATTTAAGTTCAGTCCTATGCTAAAAGAAAGCAGTCTAATGAGGGACTAATTTACAAAGTATACAAGAATATAATTTTATAATAAATCTTTCCAGTGTCTGCTGTAACTGCATTACATGAAATGCTTCCCTCTACAGAAGCTCAGGATAGCTCTTATAAAATGAACAGAATGTTCTGTGTTCATCTCTGACAAGCAATGAACAAACAGACTTGCTCACAAGTGCTGCCTCAGGAGCATAAATACCACTAACATGCTATATGAATGAGTCTTCGTGAGTGGTTACAATCTGGGACCTCTTCCTCTTTTCTCATGCCAGTGAACCCAGCTTATATAAAGCCTAAGAAATCTAAAGTTGTTGCAGAAGTGAAACTCAGCATGCTCCACTCAAATTCTTCTAAGGTAACCATTGTAAAGCAAAAATCAGCAGAAGTCATCTCTTTTTATTAAAAAAAACTAACAACATACTCTGATACACACACACACACACACACACGTACGCACACACACAAAAAAACTCTAAAACAAAACCAAAATCCAAACCAAAAGGCAAATGCTGCTGTTCAATCATCAGATGGACTTAGAAAGGCAAAAAATGTGACAACAGCAATAATTCAAGTAAAATATGTGTGAAAATTTAAACACGCCACTTTTAAGTTAAGACAAAAGTGAAAGGGAGTGATGATCTTTGTATCAGTCAAAAAGCTTAGGCATTATCACCAAATGTTAATTCACTTTACGGTCATCAATGAGACTACTGTAAATATTTTTGCACCTTGCGCTTGTAAAAGCAGATAAAATATTTAATATGTAATTTACAACGTATTTTACCAGCTCAGCATACAGGATGTRTATAGATTATATCAAAGTAGTAGACAGTTAGGGGCCTGTGCAAACCCTGCAAAAATAGTACTTCAGGTATCTGCTAATCAAAAACAAAAACAAAAACAGTTTGCTGTTTAGAAGTGATACAATTCAAACTACCACAAAATACAAAGGGCTGCAAAAATGTATATCATTCCAACAACATATATAAGTTATTAAATAAAGATCTGATTTAAAAGAATATAAATGAAGCCTTTAAGTAGGTCTTTTCTACATGCATATTATTCCTCATTAAAGAAAAAAATATGTAAAAAGGCCATTGGTAATTGCTTTGTTAACATTTGTAGAAAATGCCAATTCTCTGGTCACAAACTCCACTAAGTATAGCACTTAAGGTCTCTGCAGTGTTATAAATGTAATTTAAAATACTGTTAATTCTATAACTCCATTGGTAAAATAATGTGACTTGGAATATGGCAGTCTTCATGTTGAGGGCAATGATCCACAGTTTTGTTTTGTTTTTTAATTTCTTAGGCTTGAATGGTTATCCAGAAGAACAGCATCCTCCACCACTGCTCTGGGCTTGAGGCTCATCATCAATAATCTGTACACCTCGCCTTGCAGCTCCTGGTTGACTGGAGCCATTGCCTTTTGCCCTCTCATCCACCTGTGCCGTTTCTATCATCCCTAAAGATAGGGAGAGAGCAAAAATTATTAATTCTACAATCTTTGAGTTTCCTCTTTCTATAATTTCAGTATACCACTATGAGAGCTATTTCTGATTTTTAATCAACAAGGAAATTAAATATAATGAACACTTAGCTCACTATAATAGCTTTACACAAGTTTCAAGAACTAGTTTCAGTAGGGAGCATCAATATAACCAGTGGTATATTGGCCACAGTGACAGCAATAGAAAAAAAAACTTTTTTTTTTTGGCTTTGAGAAAATAACTATACAAGTATAATCCTAAAAATCTTCCAAACATACAATCTTTTAACAYATCAGTGATATGTCAAAGTTCATGTTATTCCAAGTACAAGTGATATTTAGGGCGAAGGATTTATTCTTCAATAATTTAAGTGAATGATATTTGAATGAATAAGAGTTTAAGATGAAGGAGCTTACAAGAACAGTTGGAGGACTCACTGATAAAGATATACTAAGACAGTTTCTGCTTCATGAAAGAAGAAACAGATAAATGAAACAGAAAATAAAGTCCAAAAAAAGACCCCCACATACACAGTTACTTGATTTCTGACACATTTGCCAAGGCTATTCAATGACGAAAGAATAATATTTTCAAGAAATGGTACCAAAACCGAACAAGTATATGTAAAAAATAAACTTTAACCCGTACTTCAACACCATATGCAAAAATCAGGAAAAGTTACCTAAACACAATTACATAAAAGCAAAAAATCTAGGAAAAAAACATAGGATAAAAATCTTTGTAGGAGAAATATTCTGTGATTCTGGCTTAGATTTTCAAATAAGACCCAAAAAAATCATTAAAAAATTGATAAACTCAATCTCAATGAAATTTTAAAACTTTTAAGCCAGGCACAGTGATACACACCTGTAATCCAGCTACTTGAGAGGCTGAGGCAGGAACCTGGGCAACACAGTGAGATCCTGTCTCAGAATTTTAAAATAGAAGAGCAGGGGAGACTAGGGATACAGCTCAGTGGCAAAATGCCCCTGGGTTCAATCCCTAGTACCACACAAAACAAAATAAAAGCCTTTTGCTCTTAAGAGACAAAAATAAAATTCAAGACAGACTAGCAGAAAATATTTGCAAAATACATAATTGACAAAATGAGAGAAAAAAATAGGGAGTCCCTGAAATAAGATGAAGATTCTAACATTTGGGTTCAGAGACTGCTCATAAAGAATGGCTTCCAAATTAAGGTGTGTGGGATAATCCAATTAAGCAAAATAAGGAAAATTATGAAATCTATTTCTTATTTTTTTCAACCTTTCAAAATTTCTATCTTTAGGTACACTTTAAAATGTATAACATACATTAGGACTTACGTGTGTTTCATGATTTCTAAGTAAACATGGAGAATACTCAAAAAATTATGAAGGTGTGAGATTTATCATATTGGTAAGCCATTAGGATCTAGAACCTTTTACTACAAGTCTGGTGTGAGGAATAGCATCATCACCACTTGGGTGCCAGGGCAAATCTGCAACATCAAATTACATATTTTAACAAGATCCTCAACTGATTCATGTGAAGGATTTGCACATTTCAGTGTGCATCAGAATCATGGGGCAGGGGGTCATTACAATAAAGACTTTTGTTGCCATCTCCAGAGATTATGATTCTGTAGGGTTTGGGGCAGAGTCCAAGAATTTGCATTTCTAACACATTCTCAAGTGATGCTGCTGATAAGAATATCTTATTCTTATCAGATTATGAATGACTTCAGGGTTTCATAAAACTGAAATTTACTTCAAAGTTTATAAAGGTACGCATTTTGAGAGAGAGAGAGAGACAGACACAGTCAGTTTTGTCAAATTTCTCAAGAGTCTGAGGTCCATAAATTTAAGAAATACAATTTGCCAAAGTCATTTCAATCTCTTATTGCATAGACCAGGGTTTTCCTAAATATGATACGCATTCTACTGGCAATATAAGAAAATAACTTGCAGGTTACATATTTTTTAAAAACGTATTTCCCTTGCAGGTTACATATTTTTAAAAAACTTACTTTAAACAATTTTTATATGGAAAATTTCAACATAGGTAAAAGTAGAAAAAAATAGCATAATGAAATCTAATCACCTGATTTTGTCCATACCTAAAGATCTGTATCATTATTTTAAATCAAAGCCTAGAAACAATTTTATTCATGAATTATTTTGATATGCACCTCAAAGAACTTTTTAAAAGTTTAATTACACCACTATAATCACACTAAAAAACTGACAATTATATCTTAAATCACCAAGTATCCATCAAGTGTTATATATTCCTAATTGTTTCACAAATGTTTTTCACTAGTTTGTCAAATCAGAATCTAAATAAGGTCCACCCACTACAACAGAATGTTACAGCTCTTATAGGTGTTTTAATCTGCATAATACTTATGCATATATTTTTATGCATTTAGCACATACCATTCATATCATTCCATGTGTGCTAATTACTATTTAAAAYACAGCTAAAGTAARATATTTAAAATTTTCTAAAAAATAAGTTAAATAAACAAACAGTAGTACAGGTAGATGCAACAAATCATCTATGTGGACATTAATGGAAATTATCAAAATATCACTTTAGAAACACTACCAATGCTTTAAAAAGAGCCATTTTTAGGCACACTAAATCTGAATATACCTACTTTTACAAAGGTCAAGAAAGAGTTCCTCAATTCCTTTGTTTTGTTTGGCTGAAGTATGATAATGTTTTGCTCCTACAGATTCTGCATACCTTAAAAAAAGAAAATAACATCAGCAATTGATGTAAAACATTAAAAAATTTTTACAGCAGCAAAACATAATAATGACTTATTAATTTACCCAAGTGTAGTAAAATTAAAATTAGTCGTTTAACTTCTCTGTACATGGAACCAAATTTTAAATAACACAAATAATAAGACTTAAAATTTTTATAGATTAATTTGAAACTCAAATTCTTAAGCTTTTGTGATTCACTGCCTATTTGAACATGGTAATTTGTAAACATAATTCTTTTATTTTTTAAYGAAATCAAAATGGGAACTGAAAGCAGGATATTTTTAAATATTGTCAAAACTCTAGAAACTACCAACATAAACATGTTTCACTGAATTCAATAGTTTAAAACCTTAAGAGATTTGAGTAACATCTTAATGGTAATATATACTATACAAAGAGGAAGACTTCTGGGGAGTAACAAGGTGGGGTGGGGGTGTGCAGGTAGAGGTGCCAGACACTTACGATTCTGCCTCTTGAATGGAAACATGTCTCTCCTTTTCCAAGTCTATTTTATTACCTAATTTGAAAAAAGTAAATACTAATCTTAACATTGATTCATTTTTATAATAAAATTAAGCCAATTCTAAATGTACAACTGCCATCTTAATTACCTGAAAAAAGTAATACAAATCCCTATCAGACCTCTAAATGTCTTAAAACTATAAAATTAATCCGTATCATATGAGAGCTGTTCACAATTGTCAAGATGAACAAATCATCTTCCCTCAAATGGATTAATGCATATCCCCTAAATTTTCAGACTGTGTCAAAGAAAACTACTTTTCAAGGAGATATGCATTATTCTTTGATGTAGATATACCAGGGATTAAGACTCCCCAGGGAATGTAGGGGAAAACTTACAATTTTTAGCAAAACATTAATGGCTAAAAAGGAAAAAATYTTCTATGTTCCCCAATCAACTTACAGCCAGTCAATAATTAAGTATGGCTATCTTTTTGTTTACTAAAATATATTCAGCTAACTTCTTGGGCCCTAACAGATTCTGGTTTCCTAGATAATATAAATGAGTTAAAGTAAAACTTAAAATGTATGGATTTTTAAGAACTTTACCATCACAGAGACAAAAAATATATTATTTTAGTGACTTATTAGAACTTAATATATGCATATCATGCAGATTTAAATTGCTGAAAAGAAATAAATTTAGCTCTCTTTAAACAATAGCACCAAAACCAAGATTATCCTAAAAAGTCACCAGAACAAAAATAAAGATATGTAAATTGCAGAGTTCTTACTAAATACAGGACAAAAGTTAAGGTGAGTTGGCCAGACACACAGAGTGCTAAAGGTAACTGAAGCAACAGTTACGAATAGGGAAAAGGACCTTAAGGAAAAACACTTCAAATATTTTTTTCTTCTATTATGAATTCTAGGGGGCTGGGGATGTGGCTCAAGCGGTAGCGCGCTCGCCTGGCATGCGTGCGGCCCGGGTTTGATCCTCAACACCACATACCAACAAAGATGTTGTGTCTGCCGAGAACTAAAAAATAAATATTTAAAAAAAAAAAAAGATGAATTCTAGGGAGAAAAAAAAAAGAAATCTTATAATCAAGGTCATTTTTTCCCCTTGGRACCTTATAGAGTTGAGAAGAAAATTTTAGAGAAGTTTTAGATAAAGTATTCAAGTAAGCACCTGACGAAAGATATAATATTTAGCACTGAAAAGTTTAAATCCAGCAGTTCTGTATATTGAGAATCTCAAACAATTGAACACTAATTGCTGGTAGCTACAAGAAACTATTTGCCATTATAGCCTAAGGATGAGAAGGAGAGAAGCAGACAAAACAATAAAGATCAGTGAGTACCATGGAAGTCAGTAATGAATTTTTCTACTTTGAACAGTTACCTGTCTACCTTAGTAAGAAGTTCTATATTAATTCTGATTTCCTATGTTATAATTTGTCAATAAAATTTTTAATCTGCTAAAAACTGTAGCCAGTATATTTGACAGTAACTAGAGGGAAAACAAGTTATTTTATTCTATGAAGAATGCAAAAAGCACCATCTGGTGGCAAGTGGCTCTAATAGGCACAAGACTGTACCTTTAAAAAGGTTAAACAATTTAGTCCCCTAATAGTAAGAAAACTTTTGGTCCAACCAACTAAAACCCTATAAACATTTTTTTCTTAGGTTTTTAATGCTTTGTTTTAAAAATTTCACCAGAATCATCAACACCTAAAAAAGAGTGAGGTCAGAGAAAGAAGGTAATCAATCACCTTACTGTTTCAAAGGAACATTGAGGGAAATTAATGTTTTATCATGTAATAATATTCAAAATTTTGACTAATTTTAATAAATCAGACCATTATTAACTATCATAGATATTTTAATGACTTAATTATTTAAATAAAAAATTTAAATCCCTCTACTAGTTAACTACTACTTCTTAGAACAATCAGTGATCACAATGGATTGTTGGCACAGAAAATGTCACAGGAGACTGACTCGTTAGTGACTGATTTCTTTCCAAAGTTCAAAACCCTTTGTAATTTCTTTTTTCAAAAGCAAGACAGCTAAGGAAGTAAGGCTCTGAAGCTCCTATTTGATACTACTCTGCAGCTGCATGGATTTTTTAAAAAATTGTAGTTGTAGATGGACACAATACCTTTATTTTATCTATTTATTTTTATTTGGTGCTGAGGATTGAACCCAGTGCCTCACACGTGCTAGGCAAGCGCTCTACCACTGAGCTACAACCCCAGCTCCGCTACATGGATTTTTGAAAGGCTTAAGGCACCTGAAAACAAGGGCAACCAGCAGAGTAAGCATCTACTTGATGMAAATCTATTTGGAAAGTATACGATGAAGATTTTATTAATTTTTTTGTAAGTGGACTGAGGAAAGGAGAAAGCCACTGTTTAATTATCTTTAAAAAAAAACATATCTGAATTAAGAATGTGGTAGAGCACTTGCTTATTTCTTAGCATATGCAAAGCCCTGGGTTTGATCCCCAATACTCCAAAAAAAAAAAAAAAAAAAGAAAAGAAAAGGAAGAAGAGATAAGCTCATTGCTAAGGGGAGATGGCCTAATTAGTGATAAAGAATTAGAATTATATTTTGTTTAGTCTGGATATGTGAGGCGTAATGGAAAGACACTTTTTCCAGCTGGGTTTAGTGGCACATGCCTATAATCCCAGTGACGCAGAAGGATCACAAATTTGAGGCCAGCCTGGGCAATTTAGTGAGACCCTGTCTCAAACTAAATAATAAAAAAGGTTGGGGATCTACCTCAGTGATAGAGCATCCCTGAGTTCAATTCCTAGTAAAAGACACACAACTTTTAAATAAAACATTTTTCAATCCTAGTTTATTTCATAGCACTAAAATCCTGGGTAAATTACTTAACCTCCCTTAGTTTCACAATGTACAAATATAGCTAGCACACTAAGAAATGACAAAATCATGGAATCTGCAGGGAAATGGATGGCATTAGAGCAGATTATGCTAAGTGAAGCTAGCCAATCCCTAAAAAACAAATGCCAAATGTCTTCTTTGATATAATGAGAGCAACTAAGAACAGAGCAGGGAGGAAGAACAGGAGGAAAAGATTAACATTAAACAGAGTCATGAGGTGGRAGGGAAAGGGAGAGAAAAGGGAAATTGCATGGAAATGGAAGGAGACCCTCATTGCTATACAAAATTACATATAAGAGGTTGTGAGGGGAATGGGAAAAAATAAGGAGAGAAATGAATTACAGTAGATGGGGTAGAGAGAGAAGATGGGAGGGGAGGGGAGGGGGGATAGTAGAGGATAGGAAAGGTAGCAGAATACAACAGTTACTATTATGGCATTATGTAAAAATGTGGATGTGTAACCGATGTGATTCTGCAATCTTTGTAATGTTTTGAATAACCAATAAAAAAAAAAACAAATATAGCTAGCAAACCTTGCAGGGTTAATTAGGTAAAAAATCCCTAGCATATAGTATCTGTTCAATAAAGAGTTCGTTATTAATATCAACCACATTCATCACAGGGAGTGATCAATAATCACGAAAAATCAATAGAGAATTAAACTCCATGACAGGTAACACACTTTTTACCACCATCCTACTAGCTGCATTTAGCTAACTTAGTTTAACCATTTGTGCTCTAGAAAATCTCCCCTTACTCCCTAAATCTAGACAAGTTTGCTTTTGTGGGCTTACAAGACTCCATTCTGCACTTCCCTTTTCATAGCAGAAATCATAATATACAATGGTAACTTGTTTTTTTCTCACTTCCTTTATAATAAGCTTTGAAAGGATAAGGACCATACCTATTTTATGTATTAACTACACTAGGCCCCAAACCTGATATAGCAAACAACAGTGTTGTTTAAGGATATGGGCCTGAAGTTAACACACAGACCTGAGTTAAACTCCCAGGTCTATCCTGATACATGTTTTTGTGAAGTACAAAGCTCTCTAAGCCCATTCATCCATCTATAAAATGGAAATCATCTTCCTGTAGTTGTGTTAGAAGGACTAAATGAAATACCGTGTAGTTCATATAGTTCATGACATTCAATAAATGGTAGTCATGATTAATAATATTTACTTAATAAATACACAAGTGTTAAAGACAAGTCTGATGCAGAATACTAGCTTAAATAGAACAATCACAGCCAAGACTGTCATTCAATGAATGAGGAACAATCTACAGAAAAAGATCTCTGCTAGTAAAGTACGGGGTTCTCCATAACKAACACATGGTTATCAAGTGCCTTAAAGAAGACTCTAGATGGTTAAGTATTCAGTTTATGCATGAAAAAATGAATTGACTGTAAATCCAAGGTTCGAATATGTATGACAATTTGAAATACCTATAGATTTAAATAACTAAATTACATAAGAACAAGCTGGAAAAGCCTGACTGAACAATACTATTATCTACGTAAAAGAGACAATAAGTTGACATGGCTGTTAAAAACTTCATGCTATCTTAACAAATCTTGATAGGACAGCATAAGTATTAAAAGAGAGAAACTGAGTGTGGTGGCAAGCACTGTAGTCCCAGCGACCCCAGAGGCTAAGAGAGGATAATTTGAGCCCGGGAGTTCTGGGCTAGCCTAGGCAATGGTAAGTAGACACCTGTAATCCCAGCAATTTGGATGGCTACCACAAGAGATAGCAAGTTCAAGGGCAACTTAGATCCTGTTTCAAAATAATAAAAGGGACTCAGTGGTAAAGACTCCGGGGTTCAGCTCCCAGTACCAAAAGAAAGGGGAGAGGACCCTGAAAGAATACATCAGTTTAACATCTGGGTTCTAGTTTTTCTTTCGGGTGTAGGAGACACTGATACACCAGAACAAACCTAAGAGAAAATGATGATGATGATTAGGAAGTCTAGAAGGTAAGCCAAATGAAAAAAAAATTAAGGATCTGAAGAATTTAAAGACTTCATGCAAATAATTCAAGTAGGCTTCAAATGTTTGAAGTGCTGACTTATGCAAAGGGAAAAGAATATTTGTCAGATGTCTATTTCTATGCCAAGCATTTTCCAAATAATTATAAAATCTTCAATAGAGTACTGTGAAGTACTATTACCATTTACTAAATGTAATAAAACAGAAGACAGAGTAAACACTGAACTACCACAGAGGACAAAATAAAAATCAAGAGGTAAGAAGTAATGCAAAACGGATACACTGTGGAATATTCATAAAGCAGTAGATAACAAAGAAGATAATAAAAATCAACTACAACTATGTGCAACACCACAGAAGAATCTTGTAAACATAATGAAAAGCCAAAGAAGTCAGACACAAGACTTCATATGATTCCATTTATATAAATTCAAAACAAAACTACTTCATGTAGCAAAAGGTCAGGGTAGTGGTGWAGGGTGAAGGGCAGTGAAGAAAAGGTAACTATAACAGTGCTGGGGTAAGAAAGACGTGTCAGTGGGGTTTTCATACTTTACACAATGAAATTTTCATTTTGTGAAAATTATGTTGTTACTGAAGATGTGTACACTTTTTAAATACACATTATATTTCAATGAAAAGTACACTTAAAACAGTAAGCCAGCTGCAGTGGTACCACATGCCTGTAATCCCACCAGCTTGGGAGGCTAAGGCAGGAGGATCACCAAAACCAGCCTCAGCAACTTAAAGAGGCCCTAAGCAACTTAGAGAAACCCTGTCTCTAAATAAAATACCACTGAGCTGGGGCTGGGGCTTAGTGGTTAAGTGCCCTTGGGTTCACTCCCAGGTTATCCCCCCCACACACACACACACAAAATCAGTAAGTAAAGATTATAGGGAATATTATCAGTTTTTAACTAACAAAATTCGTTTATTTTAAAAAGTAGCCTTTCTGATAAAAACACAGTGTTATCACAAATCATCATACAAGAGTAACATGATGATCTAAATGAGATTCTTGCACTGGGTCAGATCAGATAAACTGTTCCCAAATATCGAATAGTACATATAGGTTAAATCACAATTATAGTATAGTATTTGATTCAAAGAAGCCACTCAAAAGAATTTTTATCTTTTTAAAAAAACTTCTTCAGGGAGTTGGGTTGTAGATCAATGGTACAGTGCTTGCCTCGCACATGTGGGGCACTRGGTTTGATCCTCAGCACCACATATGGTAGCTGAGTTTGGGAACAATAGTAAATGAGCTTTGTTCTAACTCTGAATTCTAATTAAACTTCCATGACATACTTGTCAGTAGCAGGGAGTGAGAACTTTTTATATGTCATATTAGTCGTTCCAAACCTTCTTATAATATGAACATTAAGAAAATACAATTTAAATGAACTATTCATGAGCTTATTTAAGCCTGTTTTTTTTKTTTGTTTGTTTGTTTTAAYATTACTTTTGTGAGGGACCTTGGTTAAGTAACAAGCTCTTGAGGCTCCTCTTTCTTATGTATATGTGTTAGTACTATTTCTTTCTTTTTAGAGAGATGACACAATCCTCCAAAAGAAAATGTTCAATCATTTACAAACTGTGGTCTTTTCTACTCTTGATAAATTCCATATACCACACAAAGACACACAAACCTCATAATGACTAACTGCAACTTTGGTGTCAAACATTATGTAGTTTGTTACTCTAGTGTTTCAGTCCGAAATATCACTGCTGTCTAGTCAACCACTTAAGATTTRGACTAAAAGGCAGGACAAAAGTATCTCTTTGACTTCTCACACCACCCCACACCACCCAATTTGTGCCCTGATATGAGATTGTAAAATTGCCAATCTGGTGGTGACAAGATGCAAGAAATATAAATTCAAGTTAAAAAAATAATTCTTATGGCTAAAAGCAAGATTTTTCCCACACTGACCATTTCTTCATTTACCTAAATACCACCTTCATCCTCCACTAAAACTACTCAGATTTCTCTAAATTCATTCTTGCTATTATCAGCCACATGGAAAAGGAGAAAACAGACTGACAATACACATCTTAAGGATTAATAGCATAAGAACACAAGTCAAAATGATTTCAATTCAAATCCCATCTCTGATACCTGCCTGACATTGGGCAAGTATGTATGTCCAGGACTCAGCTTCTTTTATAAAGCCCTTGTAGGGTTACAGGATTGTATGAGATAATGTCTGTTGAGTGCAGAGGATAGTTCCTAGTATACTTTCATTGTGTGACAAATATATCATAGAAATAATCATCTGAAGATAAAGGGAACCAAAGAAAAATTCTAGAAGTCTAAGACTGAGCTCTAGAAGTCTTCTTATTTTACCCACTAACAAAATTCCTCCTCCCCAGGATCACAATCTATTTACTGCATCCCTGCAATCAAATTTGTCCTTGTTTCAAAAATGTATAGTTACATGTATAAAACAAGAATACTGAYTTAAGTAATTGGCTTTAATCTTATTTATTTATTTTTAGTTATAGGTGGACACAATATCTTTATTTTATTATTTTTTTATGTGGTGCTGATGATCGAACCCAGTGCCTCATGCATGCTAGGCAAGCACTCTACAACTGAGCTACAACTCCAGCCCCTTTAATCTCTTTTTTTTAATATAATTTTATTTTATTTTATTATTTATTTTTATGTAGTGCTAAGGATCGAACCCAGGGCCTTGCACGTACAATGTGAGTGCTCTACTGCTGAGCCACAACCCCAGCCCCCGCCCCTTTAATCTTATTTAAAATAGTTCCTAAACTTTTTTTTTTTAAACAAAATCTTATAGTGAAAAACAGCAAAGTCTAAACTAAATAAAGCAAGACTGAAGAACCTGAAGCCTTAAAAGATTAGCATCCAATCTTTTTCCCAAGGTGTTCCCTGAAGTATAGGGTTTGTTCCTCTTGTAAAATCACCTCCAAATACTAAGTTATTCTAAAATATTTAATATTAAAATACTATAATTATTTCTTTCTCATGTCACTTTTAAAAAGAATTACTTTTTTACTAAAACATTAAGAAAAYAAAGGATTTTTTAAAGTAATGAAGCTTACCAACTATACATAAACAGATTTCATTTCCCAACATTTTCCGTAATTCTTTGACCCAGTTTTTTACCTGTGTATAAAAAGAACAAATATTAAAACAAATCCTATTAGAATTAGTACTATAATATCACCTAAATACTCAACATTGGCAAAATACCACAAAATGTCTAATASCTTCCTATTATCAGATTATACTACAAAACACACAAAATGAAAAGATTTCTCTCTCTCTCTAAATATGTATGTATCTACAGATGCACCTCTGATTACAGATTTTTATAAATTTTTGATAGATCCAAACAAAACTATTTACCAAAGCAKATCAATAAATGTCTATAATAAATGATAATAAATGTCTATAGTCAATGTGGGCTTAAAATAGTCTTTAGTATGGTCATTGGTTTCTAAACAGAGGGCCTAAGAACTTCTCTATCATACATTTAAAGAGAAAAAAAAATGTATATGGGCACCAAAAAAGAGAATATGGCAAAATATATTTTCATCATTTAATGTGTGACAAGCCCATATACATTTTTTTACCTTGCCACTACTGATATATATATATTTTTTGGCTCAGATCATTCTTTATTGTGAAGGACTACCCTGTGTAATGTGTGATAATTTAATAGCATCCCCTTGCTTCTGTTCACCAGAATCCAACAGTATCCTCCAGCTGTGACAACCAAAAAATGTTTCCAGACATTGTCATCCCTTGGTAGAGAACCACCGGTATAAGACAACTCTAGTAATAAACTGATTCTCCACTATATATGAAGCATATCATAGCAGCAGATGCAGCTGGGAGTAAACTAGAATTAAGAAAATTAATCTTCTGAATACGTGCTTATAATATTATAACAAAGTAACAGGATTATAATAAAAAAACAAGATAAAGAACAAACTTGGGACATCTGCTTTCTTTTCTTGTAACAAAATTTAATCTGTATGCAGTCAAATCACACCTTCCTTAAAAAATATATATATACACCTATAAATTACAAAAACTACATTAGATATATGATAAGCACTTACTGTACATTGGTCCTACAGTACAAATATAACAGCTCCACACTCCTTGCAAGAACACAAAGGAACTATCTTTAACAACCCCAAATCCTTATAAAAACCAAAGGTAATTAATTATCATTGCCTTATCTTTATTAAGGGCTAAACYAGTTTTCTCAGTGTAGCCCCATATTTTGTTTGGTTCACAAACACATAAAGATTTCAAAGCATTTAGTCAATTTCACATAAGAAAAAAAATGACAAAACTAGTAAAAAAAATATATATATATACATCCTCATCATCCCAAGAGAAACAGACCAGAATCCAATTATATATTACTTTACTCCCTGTACTCTACAACCTATTAATCTAATCAAATTTTATAAAGTTTGTTATTAAGCTGGGGATACAGCTCAGTGATAGAGCACTTGTCTAGCATGTGCAAGGCCCTCAGTTTGATCTCCAGCACCACAATCAATCAATCCAGTATTCAATCAATATAATCCCAGCTAGTTGGAAGGCTGAGGCAAGAACATTAAAAGTGAGATATTTATCAAAATAAATAAATAAATAAATAAAAAAGGGTTGGGTATAAATAGTTTAGTGAAATAACTCTGGGCTTGATCCCTAGTACCATAAAAATAAAACACACAAAGTAATTTGTTATTCGTCTTCAATTATATTCTGTTCCACAGGCCTCCTAATTCTTATCTTACCCTTATCCATTCTGAGGTGAATTAAAGTTGGTTATAGCTTCACCTAGCCTTCTATCAATAGGTAGTGAAGTTCCCCACCCTAAGAATTTCAGATGGACTTGTAACATGCTTTGACTAAGATAAGTGACAGAAGTAATATTGTGCCAGTTTCAGGCTTAATGTTGTAAGACTGGGCAGCTCCTACGTTTGCACTCTTGAAATCCAGTTATCATACACAAAGCTTAAGCAAGAATACAGAATGATAGCTGGGCACGGTGGCACATGCATGTAATCCCAGCAACGTGGGTGGCGGACAGCAGCAGGGGAAATACAAGTTCAAATTCAAGGGGAACCAGGGCTAGAGATGTATCTTTATGTATAGCAACCCTGAGTTTGATCCCCAGACACTCCCTCCCCCCATACCAAAAGCAACAATAACAACAATAGAAAAAAAAAAAAAAAGAATGTTGAGAAAGCATGTGCAGAAAAGAGTAACTAGCTGGAACAATATGCCAGACAAAGCACAGGATCTAYCTAGTATAYCCACAGAATCATGAGAAATAATAAATCCTTTTTTAARCCATGAAGTTTTGGGGTTCTTATTATGTATTAATAAGTAACTGGCACTTTTCAATCCAAAACTCTAGACTTTCTTTTAATCAACAAAATACTTAACCCATTTATTTTTATGCAAAAATCCAGGAAGGGATAATAAACAGCAAACAGCAGCCCCAAAATAACTTTAAAAAATCATTAAATCAGCAAGATACATACTATTTCATTTCCCTACTCTTTGGACTGCTTTACTATGTTATTAATAATCCAAGAGCTAACTGGTATATCTATCTGCTCCATTAGATTTTACTGGAAAAAAAAAGAGCAAAACTAAACTAAAAAGGCAAGAAATTTTAACAAGAATAAACCTGTAACTCAAGGCAAGAAAAGCTTTTGCCTTGGAAATTTTCCCCTTTCATTACACATTGCTGACAAATTTATTCCAAAAAAGGCTTTAGGAAGGAAGGTCAAATAAATAACTAATCCTGATTGCCATGAGAATTCAGAGGGTAAGCTTAATGGTAAATCATTTTTGATCCCAAACAACTTTAAAAATCTTACATTTATGGTGCAAGTTTGAAGAGGAGTTTTTTTTAAAAAACGAAGGAATTTTAAATAAACAAACACTACTTATATTGTCCTTTCAAAATTTACCCTGTACCTTCCAGAATATTTAGTGAGGAGAAAGAGCTTAAATTGGATTTTGCTCTTCCTTTTCTCTCTTCACAAAAAGGGAGCCCACATAGCTACACCAAGTTTTCAGGTGCCCAATACCTACAGAATCAAATAAATGAGATTTTTTTTAAAGGGAGAAACAAAGCCCCTGTATTTTTCTGAAGCTTAACTTTAATTATTTCCCTTTGAGAAAGCCATGCAATAAATGATTAATTACTCTAATATGAATTAATAAAAATTAAACATTTCAGTAAAAACAAGTAGTCACCTTTTATGCAAACTGCATACTAACTGTAAATGGAAACTCGAAAAATCATTGTTCTTCTCATTAAATCATCTACCCAAAAGTAAACAGCATACCTTTTGAAAAGAATCTTCATCTGTTATATCATAAACTAAAATTGCTCCATTTGAATCTCTGTAGTAAATTGGACCCAATGCATGGAATCTTTCTTGACCTGCTGTATCCTAAATAAAGCAACAAACGTTTATTAAACCAGAAGAAAAAATGTCTGCATGTCTGCTTTTGCAACTTCAGTGAACTTCTGATCAATGAAAAAACAGCATAAAGTCACAGATAATCCCAAAACACTATTAAAAGAAACAGGTTACCAAAAAAAGAAAGAAAGAAAGAAAGAAAGAAAGAAAGAAAGAAAGAAAGAAAGAAAGAAAGAAAGAAAGAAAGAAAGAAAGAAAAAATTAGGTTAACATGAAATGTTTTACTGTTAAACAAAGGTCAATTCCCTCTCCCAATTCTTCTCAGCAACCTTACTAAAAAACCAAGCAGATGTTAGAGGGTCAAAATGGCCAATGCTACATTATGAACCAGGAATAGATCCTGCCCTAAATTCAGATTCCCCCATAGAGAAAAGAAATAAAAGCGAGTATGCACCAGGACCACCTGCTTACAGAGATGCTACTATATTATCCTTGTCCTACCCTCCACCAGTGAGAGGGCTAGCACTTTGGGAGGGAAGCCAATCCTACCCACCCTATCCACTCTCTGAAGTAGAATCCTGAGTTGATCCTTCTGTAGCTAGGGTCAATATGACATGAATATTTAAATATAATTCTTAACCAGATTTTAGGAATTTTTAAAACCATAAACAAAATTGCCTAAGTTTCAGTTAACTTCAAAAAAAATAGAGAAATTCAAATTCCTATTCCTAGGGAAAAAAAAAATCAGTATTGCACAAATTAGTTATCAAAATATTAAAAACAGGCAGATACCACTCAATATAGATGAAAAGGTTAACTTACCCATATGGCAAGGTTTACTCTTTTCCCACCAATATTTAACTTCTTTGTTAAGAAAGATGCCTAAGAAAAGAGAAATACATTAAACAGCTTTTCATGTAAAATAATGCTACTTATCCAAAAACTACAGATGAATCATTCAAGGTGAATCTTAAGTTATCTGAGAGAAAAAGTAATCCTTGAATTTTTATTTTATAACCAGACATTATTTTTATTAAAGACAGAAAAATACTTACTTACATTCCTATCTAAGAAAAAGAAATCTTGTTTCATGAACAAAAGTTATTAAAAATATAAAGAAAAGCTAGGGATGTAGGTCAGTGACAGAATACCTGGCATGTGTAGGGGGATTCATTCCCCCTCCCCCCACACACACACAATATAGTACTTTGCTTAGTTTTTCCCCTCTAAATGTGGGACAATTTTTTTTTTACTAGAGCATTTAATTTGATATTGACTTCCTTAAATAATAATAGGATGAAAAAATCTAAGAGATTTCTAAGATATAAGAAATGTTTGGTAGTTTACTTATTGTATATCAATATTAGTCAAAAAGGTTCTGCATTTACAAATTATATATATATATATATGGGTGGGTGTGTGTATGTGTATATATACACATACACATACATATATATAACCACACCCCCAAACTTTCCAAGTCTTTTTTTCATATTTCCTATGGAGTTTTATGACCATTGATTTTGTATTATGCCATATGTAAACACCTCTGATCTCCTGCTCTACATGCTAAATTACCTTCCCAAAGCCTCCCTGTTTTTTTTTTCTTTTTAAATTTTTATTACTCATAGAAGAGTTCCCTAATAGGTTATCATTTTTATTAAGTATGCTTGAAAAACTCCCTGCCTGCAGCTAGTACCATAATGACCTTTTGTGATGACTACTATGGGGTTTCTTGGCAAAAGGAAGTGACTAGAGCTGATAAAATCTCCCTTATTTCTCTTTAACCATCCTTTCTGAAACTTACAATCACCCTCCCATGAGAGCTTAAAGTATAGTATTAAGTATCTGCTTAGGAATCATAATTTTATGAAAAAGATGCTCATCACAGCATAGTCTGTAAGAAGGCAAAGAGTCAAAAACAATGAAATAACCTCCCTACAGTGAAYCACTGCAGACATTACTGCTACTACTAACATTTACTGAATGCTTACTTTGTGTTACAAAGTAATCTATAAGCTTCTCCTTTGTGAATGATGAAAAATCCACATATACAAATCTCAAAGCCTTATCTTTGTACCCAAAGACRTCTACAATAATTTTGTCCACACTTATCTTCCTAAGATAGCTTCCAATATTCTCTACTTCCTCTCCAACTTCTATAGCCTATTTATATTCCTTCTAATTCTGTTTGTTCATAAAATCCCCCTCTAATTTGATTATTTATTTATTTATTTTTTAAATATTTATTTTTATTAGTTATTGGCGGACACATCATCTTTGTTTGTATGTGGTGCTGGAGGATCGAACCCGGGCCGCACGCATGCCAGGCGAGCGCGCTACCGCTTGAGCCACATCCCCAGCCCCGATTATTTATTATTTATTCTCTATCTGAACTTCACCTCTTCAAATCCAGTTGTTGATCTATACTCTTCTTCCTTAAATTTTTAAGTTTTCTTACTCTATACATAAAATCCACATTGAACACTAATCTGAAAAATTAAAGGGAACTTAATCTTGTCATACACAGTATATACTGTCTTATACTACTAAGTTACCCTTTTATAGGGATAAGCATTCTGTTAACTAGATTACATATTTTTATTTAACTCTTTCACAGTGCTTATAATGAAATGAGCAGTGGTCTAAGAGCTTTTCAAGTATGTCATTTAATTYTAATGCCCTGTGAGTCAGATACAATTATTCTCCAAATATTATAGATGAGGAAGCTGAGGCAATTATGGTATCTTGCCAAAGGTCACACAGTAACACAGTAGGATTTGAAATCCARATGCAACTCATAAGCACTATGCTATGGTATCTCCCAGACTGATAGCTGAACACATATTTCTCTAGTGAAAGAGTGGAAGCCACAGCATCCTTTTCCATAATAGACCTCAAATAATGCTATTGTATAACTGAATTTATTTAACAGATGTTCTAAAACCTTCCTTGGAAACTATTTTTTT